GAATATGGTAGATTATTATTCACTTGGAGCCTTTAAATTCAGACTGGACAGATTTAAAAGTCATATTCTTATTTAACCAGAAAACATAGGCCTGATGTGACAGGATATGACAGCATGGTATTTTTTGACTAGTAATATGTCCGAGATCTCTAGATGTTCACAGTGGTCATTTGGCTTTAAAAATCTACAACTCTATAAAATATGGCGTGTAATCTGCTCTTCCCTTCCCCTTCTCAATGAAAAGGCTACAAAAGGATTCTCCTCAAAAAACTGGGGAGTATTTCTGTAGTACATCCTTCTAGCTGTTGAAGAATTTTCTCCTAAATCATCTCTTTTCCACTAATAATGGCATCCCTTCATAGTCAACCGCTTTGTGAACAGAAAACTGAGTTGGAACATGTAATAAAATACCACCTCCACTCTCCTTTCAATATTATTTCTAGAATTATTTCCTTTAGTGTCTTTACATCCCAAGTAAGATGTTGAAAAAATTTTCACAGAACCCTGGAGTGCCTGGAGCAAAAAGCAGGAAATGTACTAATCGTACTCCCATTCATCACATCTTAGTCCTACTTACGGTGATGATTCTTGCACCAAACAGCATCCCACCGTTTTTATGTTACATCTGGTCTATATGATTTGCATCTGCTTTACTCTCATCCTTGTAATGATGCATCAACCAAGATGATGCTGAAATGCTGAGGTTCTGCCAGTGCATTACCTCTACTTGTAATCAATGATTTCATACATACATGCATACATGTCAGATATGAAATGCAACAAAGACATACACCAAGGAACCCATAAGCAGTAGACTACACTCTTCCTTAGCCACTCAGTTTAAAATACTCCTAAAACTTTTAGAAAATTCTCATTTTTAAGACAGGGAGATTCTGTCAGTTACTGAAGTCTGCATTAGTGGGCTGTCATGGCACCTCCACATTCACAAGCACATGCTCTTGCACAATCAGCTTTACCAATATTTGCACTATTCACCATGGAAATGACAAGCAATTATCAGCTGGTTCTCACTGTATGCTGAGGACCCCAACCACCACCATTAAGTCACAGTAAATCTCTTTAGAGTGGCATTGCAAAGGAAGACAGAGACACAACAGATTCACCAGAGCACAGTACCTGGTCAGTAGCGGGAATCGACTCCCATCTACGCTTCAGTAAGTACAGAGATTTCCGGCTCATGATTTTGAATCTGCTCTGGAGGTTTTTCCACACTCGAGAAAAAGGCTTTTCCCAAACCAGTGTCCAGAACCTTATTTCTGACTCCTGTGCTTCATTGCTGTAGACGGCAGAGCTCCCCGATGTACACAAGTTTTAGCAAGCTGCAAGGCTGAGGCCAGTTACACCCAGCTTCTCCCGTTTCTCTACAGTATCCGTCTCCTTACAGTGCCACGACAAAGGGAATCAGGCGAGATAGTGAAAAGCCTAGCTTTCACTGACAAATTACCTCGCAAAAGCATGAAGTAGGTAGATAACACCAGACGCACTCAGTCTGAAAATAGCTGTTGCTTAGGAACTGGAGGGGTAAAATGCAGCACCTCAGATATATAATTGAGAGCTTTTATATTTAAAGAGAATTAAAAACACTGGACTTCTGTGTTTCTCTCCCAATTATCATCCTTTTATAATGTTGGAGGAACGATTGCTCGATTCCACTGACTCCTGGGGCTACGCCTACGTCTTCAGCAAGCCAAACAAGTCTTGATGACAGAGCAACAAATAACTCCCACACATTCAAGGTTTCTTGTAAAAATGTGTGCACAAAGCGTGCCGTGGTTCCACCTGAAATATCTTAGAAGTATCAAGTGTTATGTTTTAGTAGAGTAATTAAAATACAGTTTGCATATTTTTTCTGCAGAGGGATAATATGCCAATGATGAATTCTGCTAGTCACATTTTCTTGTATGATGTACTGATATTGGAAATGGGTATGAATATTTTCCCCTCACATGAGTGAGATGATGTGGTTTTACAGACTGCATGTGTAGATTTGAAAGAGAGAGATTTCTTTATGAGGTTTAAAGATTCCTAAACATTTAGGAATTTCTTTAACTCGGAACTCAATTTCCAAGTTTTGTGTCTAAATCCTAACCTCTATTCATCTTAAAAATTAAGCATGAAACATAATGAAATTCACTTTGTACTTTCTGCATGATTTAAAATCCAGAGAGTAAGTCCTCTGCATGAAGCATTTACAGCAGGAAGTGTTACCTTCAAAGATCAAAACAAGAAGAGGAAAACAAGAAAAAAAAGTAGCAGGCAGCCAGGAACTCATTGCTCTTTGTAAGACAACCTATAATTCACTCTAATTACAGCAGCCTTAATAGTATAATTATGCTAAAATAAAAGGAATCCTACAACATACACACATACATATGCATATGTAAGTGTAATCTAGAAAAAAGTGAGTGCGGTGTTGGTGTGGAAATCAGAAGCAAGTTAAGTATTGTAAAGACAGCTTTTCACTTGTCCCAATTACATTCTACTGGATTGCAGATGCTTCTCAGGAGACAAACTCCTGCAAACAGAAATTCCCATAATCTTCAGTGTATTTCATTTGACATCCATCACTCCCAGTAACTACATCACTTTGAATTTAACTCCCACATGCAGAAAAGGAACATATTTTTTTAGTAGGTCACTAAGAAGTGTGACGTGCACGGTAGTAGTTTCCTCTCATGTTTCAAGACATACCATAGAAAACCTACTAGTTATTAAAAAAATCTCAACAGAATTAGTGTTCTGTTTGATGAGTTTTGGTAGGATAATGTTATGAGTTTATATCTGGATTTTAGTTTTATATTATGGTAAACCAGTGGTTCCATTTCATTTTCTCACAAACGACATTGCTAACATTGACACATGCAGGTGGCTTCCTAAGATCTATCTTCCCACCTTCTTCAATCTACTCCATGAGACTTAAAAGATCATGGAAGACTAATAAATTGGCTCCCAGTAACATAAGCCTAAACCCCTTCCTTCCTTCTTGCTGCTTGCCCAAGCAGCGTAGGCTACCACTGTCCAGGAGAAACCTCTCCTCTCAAGCCCCAGTACTGTGCTGGAGGAAAGCCCCACAGACCCAGGGAAACACCATAAGCAACCCCGTGGCAGACCCTGCAGGCAACTGCCAGTCCATCTTTAAACACCTGATGCGCTAGATTTGAAGGAGAAGTATACCTAACAGATTACTCATCTTAATTTTTAAGCAAGATCTTGTTTAACAAAGGGTACATTTATTAAAGACACAAATTGGCAACAGCGCAACTGAATCACAAAAGGATAAAACAGGTCTTTTATACTACATGCAGAAATTGGAACCTCCTAAATTTCTCCTAACCTTTCAAGGAACTAGTTTAAATTAGGTTTAATAGTATTCCTATCACAGACAGTTTTCAGAGCCATTTAAAAGAGAGTCTGAGACTACAGTGGAATAACTGAGGATTATTTTCTTCCCCCTAATGAAACTGTTCTTTCTTGCTTTTTGTGTCTGGGCACTAGGATACTACATAGTAATCAGAGAGCTTGGGTCATTTTCTTTTCCCACCCTATTCAAGATCCTTTAACATTTCTGTGGTGCATACTGATTGTTAGTTTTACAAGGTTCTTCCAAGATTTATAACAATTAGCTTTCTAGAAGCTTTGCAGAACACATATGCACAGCACAAATGAAATAAAATAAAAGACTGTTTACAGGATGAAATAGATCAAAACTTATGCACTTCTTTTTAGATGGATTTAGAAGGAAACACCTCACTGCTCTGTCAAGAAAACCCTACATATACAGATTTTATCCTGTTTTGACAAAACACAGTGTCTGGGGTGAAGTATTTTTGCTTATTTTCTTAAAAAAATAAAATTAAGACATTCTGACTAAGGAAAAAAAAAAATCTACAGGAGCCTTCTACATGAAAATCTGACACAGAGTTTTCTAGACTAATGTTTTTAATAATTCAACAAAATCCTTCAGAAAAGTTTCAAACAACTGCAGGCTGACCTGCAGAGAATTCCACTGAACTTCTTCTCACTCTCTTCTTTTTTTAAAAAAAAACAGAATGGTGGCGGAGTATCTAAAACATCACACAAGGAAGGAACAAAACCATTCTCAGAAAGATAGAGAAAATTATTAAATTTATATAGAGTTATCGTCTCACAATTATCTCCTTTGCACCCTCTGCTGAAACCCAGAGAACTTCACCTATATGTTTAGTAACCAGTTATCTCACTTTCCCCAAGTACAACCTTCCCTAACAGTACCCAATTAATGGTTTTGCTTGCACTCCATACAGATGGGCATTTGAAGCAACGCGGTTAATGCCCATAAGACCTCTTCCTTTGAAATTTGGCCATGCCATGCAAGCCCTCCCTACTCTTAGGAAGGGGCAAAAGAGAGAAACCAGACAATATATTGATTTGTCTGGAACCCTCCTTGGAAGAAACCTCATAGCCCCATGAGAAAAAATAATTTAAAAATTCTTTGGCAACTATTTCATCCTGTGAGTTCATTTTTTCAGAAAACTCAAAAGGGATATATTAAACAGCCCAAGTCCAATTTCCTGCAGCAAGACATATTTTTGATTTGATCTGTCTTACCTTTTAATTTAAAATCTAGTTGTACCAGATTGATACCACTTACCTTCCACCTAAATCCTTTTCTCTAACATTTCTTATTGGCAAGATGTAAACCTTCAAAAATAATGGAGACAGCTGAGTAAGAAATGCCTTCTCAATGCATCTAATCCATCTTTCTGCTACTGAAAGAAATTTTCTGTTGCATGACTCAGCTCTGTCTGGATCAAGTGTTTGGATTACAGCTCAAAAATTATATTAATGAAAGCTGTCACTATTTTATGCTTTTTTCCATTGATTCAATCCTGCAAATATTAAAAAAATGAACAACTTTGCCAATCTCAGATGGAAAACTTACTTGAATACGACAAACTTACAAAAAGCCCAAACCAAACACAAAGTACTGAGCAACTCACCTGTGAGCCTCTGGGTCCTCGTTTGTGATCCCATTCAGTATGTCCCACAAGCTGAAAAACAAAGAAAAGCCCAGGTAAGTGAGAAACTCAACTCATTAGCTTTAATTGAAGCAGTCACGCTTTTATATCCATTACACATTTTCTTTGAAAAAACAGGTTTGCTTTTATGATTTATTTCACACAGCTTTTAGCTTTGTAATGAGTGTGAGAAGACTTGGGAGTTGTTACTATAACTTTGTACCTTTACATTCAGGGCCAAAACACATCTAGCATCACAACACTGCTTATGCCAATAGAATTCCCACTGCCACAGATTCAGCTTTAGCCAAATCTTTAATACTGATCTGGCAGAAGGAGAGATGATATATCAACAAGATTACCAAAACCAGAGGACATTTTATTAAATAGCAATGCATGTTTTACCCAAGCATGAAAGTTAGCGACAGCTTTAATTCTGTCTCACCACTGAATTGTTCTCAATGTAATAAAAAAGTAGACGTACACACTCTAATAAAAGTAAAAAAGATTGGCATCATTACATTGCAGGGGAAAGCAAAGACAGAGTTTAGAGATGATGGGTTCTTGTTGGAAATTAAGATTTGTGGTGGTATACAGCTTCTCAAGTTAAAGAGAGAGAAAGCATTAGTTCTAGACCAAATTCAGCTCTCAAATCCTCTGTGCAGCCCTACAGGAGATTGTGTTGTGAGACAAGTGGTCAGACATTGGATGGTACAGATGGACTCCAGAAAAAATAATTTGTCTTCTCCCATCTTTTTCCTACTGTACTTCATAACTGTATGCTAACACAGGCACGCACTCCCTTTCTTTAAGCAACATACAATTTGCACACAGCAGTTATTTCCATGTATGTCACAGTGGAAGACAAAAAAGGAGGAGAGAGAATACTCAGTAGGCTTTATTACTGCTTTATGTATCCAAAGATTATGGGCAAATGTGAACTGTTGACAATAAAGCTATCCTCACACCTGCCTGAAAAACCCTGGCAAGCACCAGGGAATGCCCAGGCACGGCTCTGGTGGAGGGGCTGCCGCTGCCAATCCTGCCTCTGGGCGCTCGGCTGGCGTGTGTTCCAGTCTGGGAGCTGGCTCTTCTTACAGCTACTCAGGGATCTCTTTTAGGTAATACTTTTTCTTACTCATATGAGCATAGCTTAATGCAAATATAAAAATATGTGAATGAAAGATAGGAGGGTTAATGTGACATGTAATGATTTAGTCATTAACATTTTCTTACTCTTTTTTTCCCCCAACATTCTTTCCCAAGGAAACGCCTTCTCCCAGGTCAGGGGTAGGCCACAAGATTTACAACCTATGCTTATTGCAGAACATGCTTTCAAAACACTCATCCTAGGACAAGAGATTAAAACTACTTAGAAAAATTAGGAAAGCCACATCCATCTCATATGAAATCTTTATCTTCTCCATCAGCTATTCCAACTTATGCTTTCCTTCTCCAAGGGCCCCTTAATTTCTTTATTATTTATGATCACCTACTCTCATAACTGGAGACAAACTGCACATGCAGATAGGCATCAAAGGTCAGAAGTATCACACCATTTTTTCACCTGATACAGCCTCACGACTGGCCCCTTGTTTTACTGTAATTATTTCATTTTCCCATACACTGTTGGTGGAAACACTGGCTGTGCCAGGTTTCCCTGTTTGTTTCTCCATACTCTTATGTTTGCTCATTACTGTATGAAACCGAGCTTTGATGTTTATGAAAGCTGGCCTCACAGTAAATAACTGGCATGCAAAAGCTACCAAGAGATGCACCTACCACAGGTTACGTGCTTCACAGAACCTCTGCCAAAACCCTCATACCTGTGCTTCCTTCCTGGCTCCTGTCACTCTGGATCAAGAAAACCTCTTCAGTTTTAACTCCCCAGCCCCTATGCCTTGTGGGGAAGTGGTGCCTGCTTTCTTAATTTACTTGGCTAAAGAAAAATTAATTTACCATGAGTCTGACCACCTGCAATTCCCAGCACGATGAAAGATATCTTTACCTACAACTTCCTACCAATGAAATTAGCACAAAAAAACATGCCTGTTATTTCACATTTAAGAAAAAAGGATTAATGTTATGGTTACTATGGTTCTCCAGGCTCCACAGACATTTGGCAGCACATACCACACCCTCAAAACAAAGTGTAGCATGAGATCCCACTGTCAGGCTTTTCATTCTCCTACCCTCGCCGAATCCATTGTTTACTGAAAAGTGAAGGGTTGGCGTTACTATTACCACCAAGAATAAGCAAGGTAGTTGAGTCAAGCTTGGAGTTACTGTTCCCATTAGAGGAGGTACACTGAACGTAGGGATGCTCCCACTCCAGCCAATCCCAGGAAATCACACTGACGTGTGCCAGAGGTGGTTACTTGTGATCACCACCGATCTCCAAGCCCAAATCGAGTCTTCTTAAGCATTCATTCTTTTTCAGGCACTGTTTTCCCACCCTGTTCCCCAGTTACTGCCTAGTGCTTTGTATGTTCACAGTTTTTCATCCCCCAGAGTGTTCTCCTGTGCTTCCCAGCCCCACGGCCAGCCCCTGCTCTGCTCCACTGCTCCTCCTCCACAGCCTGCAGGTGCCTTTCAGTCCAGGTCCCCCAGCTCTAGCCCCGCTCTTCTACCAGGCATGAGTAATCCTGAGGTGCTCCACAGACTGGATGTTGCATCAGCAGCTAATATTACAGAGAAAAATTAGTCTGAAGGCTATAACAACTCATCCTTGCTCCACTTCTCAGCATCTAACCACCAAAATCACTAAGAGAGGCCAAAGTCACCAGTGAAGCTGCCAGTCATAAACACATTTGAACCAACGAAGTGACCCCTTGCTTATTCTGGCATCGTTTTATTAGCAAACTGCTAACTCCTCATAGAAAATTACACAACCTGCATTTCATTTAATTTCTCTACAAATGTGCCTTTGTGGAATCAGCTTTGTTTGTATTTTTGTTGATAGATCCATTGCCCCTACTGTAAAAGAATTTCAACACCATTCTCCCCTCTTTGTATGTCACACACTATGCCAGGATGCTTACGGAGTTAACCCTGTGGTTATCACCTGGTAAAATGGTGAGCATGAGGAAGCAAAGGAAAAGTTCTATGATGGTAAGAGACCTTGTCAGTTCTAGGCAGTTTTCAAACATGGTAGTAAAATTCATGACCCTATGAAGCCAACTTTTTCCTCCCTTTTTTATAACCTTCAAATCTTACTTGGCTTTAAAATGTATTTCTCCCTCACAATTTAGAAAACGGTTTTCATCTCATGCTAGAATGTTCTTGACATATCTGCAATGGACCACACCAACAAACGGAGAGAAGGAGAAAATAATTAAATTTAAAAGTATATCACACTTACAAAAGGGCCACAAGTTTTAAGACAGAAAACTGTTTTGTTTTCAAACAGGTATAGCAGTAGTAACAAAATTTCTTCCAGGCCAAAATCCTACTGAGGGATGAATACCTTGGTATGACACCTTTTAGCTCAACAAGCCACACCGTACTAGATTAATTCTGAACCTGTGAAAGATTTTCTGTGAATGGACAAACAGTAAGTGCTGGAGTATGATATGCAGAAAAGGAGGAAAGCAAGTATGCCTGACCTATCAGGCTACTTGGAAATCACAATTTCTATAAATTCTACAGAAATCAAAAGATGAAGAAACAGTATTAAAAAAACAAACACAAACAAACAAACAAAAACAACAAAACCAAACAACAAACCAACCACAAACACTCAGAAACATATTTTGCGTAAATCCACTTGAGTCTGAGCCAACCTTCTGAACTCAGAAAAAAGATATTGTTCAACTGGTACATGCATGAAAACAGAGATACAAACACAAAAATGCATTTGGAAGTAGAGGGAATTATGTATATCACTAACAGAAGGGTTTGTTCCAGACTCCACCACCTCCTCTGAACATTACTATGAATCGCTTTGGTCCAGAATGATGGTAAACAGCCTCACACTATCAAATTACTTTTTATCATTTTTACTGACCAGACTGCTGAGGCTGATTATACCAGCAGCAGCAAAGGAGGGATAAAACCAAACTCAAACTCCCACACGGCTTATACATGTGCAGTCTCTCTCAGAAGGAACGATTCTACTTTGCATTTCATCTAAAACTGTCCTAGAAACCCAGCTCTGACAGTTTTAACACTTAAAGATGAAGGCAGCTTTCAGCGACAAGAACAATGCTTAAATGTTCAAGAATGCACAAAAACATGAGTTCACTAAAGCCAACTGGCTCGCTCTACCCTACTAATTGACTAACAGGTCTCCAGGGAAAACAGCCTCCCGGAGCCCAGCTGAGCGTGAGGACTGTGAACAGAAGAGGAGGCAGGAATGGATGAGACCCTAATATCAAAATCACAGTTATAGAGAGAAAAAAGAGAAGTGAAACATGGTTAGCTTGCTCTAAACATGTCAGGTGGTAGCCTGTCCTCTAAAACTCAGGCTTTTGCTATAAACACTATGAAGTCGCTAGGCCTCACGGTTGTAAAACCAAATTTTAAATGTAAACCAGATGTCCACTAATTCAATGACACCTGCAAAGGAGTAAGAAATGGTAGAAGGGACTGTTTGCATTAGGTAACTGAGATACCCATGTCAAAGTACAATAAAAGCATTCAAAAATTAGCATCTTCATCTCTCACCTCTCTAGATGCAGTTCTTCTCCTATTTGGTGATTTAATTAAAGACCCAGCATATGATTACATAATAATCTCAACTTTCATTGAAATTCATAAACCATAATTCTAAGCCTTCTTAGTATTAGAGAACTGCAGAAAAATATGACCCACGCATACCGTAAAAAATCTAAATAAAAATACAGAAAGAATGACAATTCAAACATTTTTTATCTGTTTCTAGGTCTTGTTTTCCCTTTAAATCATCTTTTCTGGCCTAGGTTTTTGATTTTGGCACCCTTGAACCAGCAATACTGCTAACTATGCCATGGCTAAAAAAAACCCAACCAAACAACAAAAAAACAACCCCCAAAAACCTCACAGAAATAAAGAGG